TGCCTCCTCCTCCTCCTCCTCCTCCCTGTCCCCTGCCGCCGCCTCCTCCTCTTCCTCCCTGTCCCCTGCCTCCTCCTCCTCCACCCCTGCCTCCTCCTCCTCCTGTGCTTCTCTTTTTCAACTTCCCGCAGGTGTTGGTGTCGGTCCCTTCACAGACCTCCGCAACATCCACGAGACTGACGACGTTCTCAGAGGTTTGCTCACTCCCGTCCTCTCCTCCTCCCTTCTATTACCCCACCCCCCAACACAACCCGGCGCTCGTGCCTTCGCTCCCCTACCCCTTTCCCCCTCCCCTCCCTTCCTGCTTCTTTCCCCTGATCTCGTTTGCTGCCTCTCCTCTCTCCCCCGTCTCTCATCCTCCTCTCCTTCCCCGTCTCTCCTCTCCTCCCCTTTCCCCCGTCTCTCCTCTCCTTCTCTTTCAGGCATCGGCATAGATCGCGCGGCTCTCGCTGACCTGCTGCTGCCTGGGATCGACGGAGCTCGTCCTCGTCCTCCCAGGACCACACAGAAGGAGAAGGTCCATGATGGGTTCAGCTCAGATGACGAATGATGAAGAGAAAAGTTCTCCAGTCATCTACTCTCCTCTCTTCTCTCCTCCTCAAGTCAGACACGTCTCTCCCCTCCCCTCTCCTTGCTCTCTACGTCCTCTTCCTGTTGTTCTCTTCTCTTCAAGTTGATCTTGTAACTTTTGTAACAATTCGTTCTTACTTCACAATCAGCCAATAACAGTGCTGTAAACATACTCTACATCCTCCTCTTCTTCTCAGCCTGCCCTTTAGACCCGTCAACAATTACAACATGGACATCCTCCTCCTCCTCCTCCTCCTCCTCCTCCTTCACTCTCTTCCTTGTTTACATCTTCTCACACGGACATGACGTGTTCCTGTTCCACATGCTGCGGGTCGTCCCACAACCACTGTAGGCGAGGACAGTGAGACGAGTAGGAAGACAACTATAATACCTCCAGCGTCTCGTTGATCATCGCCAATTGTCGCTCCTCCTCTTCCATGTCCTCCTCCGATCTCTCCTGTACAAAACTTCACCATCTTCGCCTCCCCTCCCCTCCCTTGCCCTATCCACTCCACTAAACTCCACTCTTTTCCTCTGCTCTGCTCTGCTCTGCTCTCCTTTTCACCTCGAAGTCATATCCATCGTACTCGTCTGCTTCGTCCTGCTCAATCTCCACAGGATCCTCAACCAGGCTGGCGAGCAGCTGCAAGTCGCTTTAGCATCATCACAGGAGGAGAGGGAGCGTGACCTCTCCGATGCTGAACGCACTCCTTCCTGCTTCCTCGCCCTCTTTGTTCGCTCCTCTCTCTTGCCAACAACTCGAGTTCGACTCTTCGACGATGAACTGAAGGTTCACAGCGATGTCTTCACCCTCGTTGCGTGACGTGTTGAGAGATGCTGACGTGTCAGTATCGACCATGAGGCTGGTGTCGGACTGCAAACGACAAAGTCAAGGACTCGCAGGAGCTTCCAACTTGCTCATACATCCTCGGTGAACACAATTTCTGCTCCCGTGATGTCCCTGTCTCGGTCAATCGCTTCCTGCAACGATGCAAGCGCCGTCTCTGTCCACTTGTGATCCTGTTTCAATGTGTCAGTCGTTCTGTCAGCACGAAGATTCCTTTGCCTCTTACCTTGCCGAGAGTGTCTCGGTTGATATTGTATGCAACCTCATAGAAACCTGCGAGGTTGTAAGAAGTGTTCCCTTCAACCATCACAGCTCTACTGATTGCTCTTCGATACTTCCCAGCCGCACACATAACATTTGCAATGTTGAAAGTGGGAACAGCAAGATCAGGGTGGTGAGATCCGAACTGCATTGCAAAGTTCAGAGAAACTTATATACAAGTTCAAAGTCACCTTCTCCATGATAAGGTGACAAGCAGATTCGTAGTAGTGCATGGCTTCTTTATATTTCATCTGATAGTAGTAACACAACCCCAGGTCTTGCAGCGTCGTAGCATTCATCTCATCGTCGCCCACCCTCGCGAAGATTTCGTTGGATTTCTTTACAGCAATTCGATCAGTGATCAACAAGGTCATTGCAACGAGACAAGAAACTTACCTGCAGGGCATCAGTCGCATGCTTGAAGAACGGAATCGCATGCGCTCCACTCGCATACTCCGCACAATGATATCCCAGCACATGCAACGCGCAGGCGACAGGCGACGACTGCATCCCACAAGCTTGCATCCGTATCCTCAGGCACTCCCTCGCATATCCTATTCCCCTCAGCGCTGCGAGATACCTCTCTCGCGCTGTCTGGCAGGCAGATACCGAGCCGCGTAGCATATCGGCCAAGTTGTGGAGGGTGCTTGCAACCTCGGGGGACGAAGGGCCTTGAATTATCTTGTCAAGCACAAGAGCATCGTTGAGCATCTCTTCTGCCTCCGCGTATCTTCCGATCTGAGTAAAAAGCGTCCCACAGAGTTTCTGCAAGGTAGAGACAATAGGTGGAGGGACCGTTGAAGCTTTTAGGCATGCGATTTCTCTCTGGAAAGCCTTTACTGCTCTATCGTATCCCCCCGATGCCCTCAAGAATAACCACAACTGAACCCTCCGCGAGGCTCTCAAGAGACAAGCCATCCGCTTTGGCTCTGACAGACATTTCCTCGCTACCGTTTCTATCCTGCAAGCCGATCGAAAGGCATTGCACGATAGCTTGAGATTGTTCAAAACTCGCAAACAGTCGGAATTGGGATTCTCTGATTGACTCGAAGCATTCACCGCGTCACTTTGTAAGCAAATCTTGCAATCATCACCTGTCTCGACAACAGCAAAGAATACAATGTTCTCCAGCACATCGTTGGGCAGCCATGGAAGATTTCGAGTTTTGAGCATCTTCAACTTTATCTTTGAGCTAGTGCTGAAGGTCCAGGGATCAATCAACTGCCTTGCAGCTGCTTGTGATCCTTGGATTCAAGATAAAAAAATATGCAAAGAATTAAATGATCCGATCGGAGGAACTGACCAGATTTCAGTTTTCAAACATACTGCAAACAACAAGTATCAGGTACTGCTGCAGACAACTTAGTTTTCATTTCAATCAAATGGTTTGGTGGCTCTCAGAACAATATCAAGAGATTGAGACCAAGGTAGTATCATTTACAAGCACTCTGAAATTCCCTACTACCCTCCTGATATAAACGCTTCAAGTTCCTGCAACTCAGTCCCAAAGCATCAGGTCCTGAACTTTCGATCTTTGAACAGGAGAAAATAAGCAAAACGAAAGCTTAGAGCAAGTAACATCATCCCATCGGTCCATTTCTACTTTCTCGTCAACTTTCGTTTCACTTTTCCCTCACCTCCTCGTCCTGACTGGCCTTTTCTCGAAGCCATTGCGTTTGTTTCCCTCCTCTGTCTAAATGAGGTATTACATCCTTAGTCTCGATTCTCTTCCTTCCGTGTCCCTATCTTGTCATCTCATTCCCTCTCCTCCTCTCTCCTCTCCTCCTCTCTCCTCTCCTCCTCTCGTCTCTTTCCCTCCCCACCATCTTTCATATCATTGCATTGCACACAAAACAGAACAACTTCAACCCAGCAAGTACCACCCTACCCCGGATTCAACCACCCCACATTTGCTTAAAAATTCATTTTTAATTTTTAGTACCCCTCCATTGAAGCTACCCACCCGTACATTTGCCCTTACATTATCAATTAATTCACCCTACCCCAGATATCAATATACTAACTCCCACCCACCTTTTTTCACACATTATCCTGAGCCATCAACTACCCACCCATTTCCTTTCTGACCCCTGTTGACCTGGTTTCCCCGAAATTATGATGACCCTACCCACTCAGCCCCTTCTCTACCCCCTGACTTTTCGATTTGTACCCCTGGTTTTTCCATTTATCACCCCTCCTTATCCCACTTTGGTACATGGCGCATGGCCCCCTGTGCCAGTAGTGATGACCCCACCCGTCACCGTTTGCCTGACCGACCCCTGGATGGGGGTCATTTAATCACCACCCCTTTCTTTCCCTTTAACTACCCCCTCCTCCTACACCATGCGCCTGCTTACAAAGTACCCCCACCCTTCATCTCCCCTTGAAAAGACTCCCAGCGGCGGGCCCGGTGGCACGTTCGGGTCCGAAGTTCCGGCGGCGAGTCGGCGGCCCGGCCGGGTCCGGGCCGGCCAGGCCCGACCGGCCTGAATTCACTGACTTAGATTCAGTGAACGGCGGCAGCTTCCAAGGCAGAATTGACATGTTGAAACTTGGCCAGTGTGCAGCCGCCACCGTGTGCGCCGCCGTGATTCATCGTGACGGGCGGCCGGTCGTCCTAGAGCATGACGTGACTGTCGCAAAGTTTGACCTCGCCGGAGGGGCCCGGGCCGCCGGGCCCGCCGGGTCTCGAAGGGGCCGCGGCCCTGGCTGATTACCTCTGGCCGGCGGCCCAGCATGAAAACCGTTCCGACGGTGCGGGCCCGCTGAATTCAATGCGACTGAACCGTATGCCACTGTGACATATTGAACGGGAATAGAGGGGGTAGGGGGTTAAAATAGGGTAGTTTGGAACATTTCCGTGGGGGTACCTCATACCATGATGCGGTAGGGGTAGTCTGCGAGATGAAGCCAGTAGCATCGGATGGCCTGTCAATTCTGAGAAAGGACATGGTGGGGTGGGTGATTTTGCAGGGTAGGGGTGTTGGAATTTTCGGCAGAACCGGTAAATATACCCTCTATAGCACGGGTAGTTGAATATTTTTTGGGGGTAGAATTGTATTCGAGGGGGTGGAGTCGTCAGAGGGAAAGGGTCTATCCGGTGTTGTCCGGGTGGGGTAGTTTATTGGTCCCAATAGACACGGGGATATCTCGCAGGGGTCATTCAATCGTATGGAAACAGGGGTGGGGGTGATTTTTAGCTGGTCCTATTGAATGCGGGTGGTGGGGTGGTCTGTGTCCTATACTATGTGGGAACTGGGTAATGACATTCCAGGAATAGTGTGGTGGGGGTCATCTGGCCTTTATATAAAGTGGGTAGGGTGGCCTTGAAATATTGTAGCATGAAGGGGTAGTGAGAAACAAAGTGAGGTGGGGGGTTGAACATTTTTTTGGGCGTGATAGCTCATATCCAAGGGAGAGAAAACTATAAGTGCTCACATCATAAAATACCTGAAGATCCGTACTATAAGCCATATATGCTGGAAATTCTCATCTTTTGGCTTCTGGACCCGTGGACTGGAGGACTCTCGATTCTTAGACGTTCAGGGTGGGGTTCATTGATTGCAGGTGTTAGCAAATAACAAGGTAGGTGGTGTGTTTTTCTCTTTTGGCGGGGTACTCTTTCGATATTTTGGGGTGGAGAGATTGTTGCACGGGTACTGATAATTGGAAGGTGATGTCAAGAGTAGTTGAATCATGGATAGCGCTTTGAACATAGCAGCGTAATCGAAGAATAGAAATCTTCCATCAGATAGGAGATTGTCAGCGGCACAAGGAGGGGTATTGGTGTTTTACTCGACTCCAGCCTGGTGGGTCATCTGTTGAGCGAAGTTGGGGTTGGGTAGTAAAGTCCTCTGGAGTATTTTCCAGAGGGGGTGGGTACTCCTTTGTGTGTGGTGGGTCTGCAATTAAAATTGGAACCTTTATGGGGGTGGGTGAGACAGGACTGGATGATTTGAGTACGTGGGTAGTCACATAGATCCAAGAAAGGGGGTGGGGGTGGGGTAATCTTCGTCAAATTTTGGAGGTATGGGAAATGCAGCAGGTGGGTGGACTTGGTTTCTGGGAGGGTGTACGTGTCAAGGGGTAGGGTGTTCGATCAGTAGCAGAAAATTCCTTGGTGGGTGGTGTTCATTGATAGGGTTTCCTGTCGGAGGAGGGTAATTGGAGGGGTGGGGTGCTCCATGGAAGAGCAGCGTAAGCCCATGAGGTCAGGATCACTGATATCACCCGTACCAGGTACATGTAAAAGTTGGGTTATCGTCACTACCGGATCCTGATTTCGTGGAAATTGGGGATAGGGGTAATCAGCAATGCTTCTATGACGGGGTGGATCAATTTCAAAGGGGGTGGAGGATAAAATAGAGTGAAATTGGGGGTGCTCGGTATAAGATTAGGGGTAGGGGTCAATGTTGGACAGATAGGTGGTGGGGGTGTGATGGACAAGGGGGAGGGTCCACCACGTCCGGCCCCTTGCGCGATGAGGGCTAGAGCAATGCTAGCCGCGCGGCATACTCCTGCTTCTGCTTCTGCTTCTGCTGCTTCTGCTTCTGCTGCCCCTCCTGCTAATCCTGTCCTACTTGATCAACCTCCTGCTTTCCACGACCTACTTGCTTGTACTTGTGCTCAAGATGCTTCAGACCCATATGCCTCTTTGATGCCCGTCTTGCTCGTTGTTGCGGCGGGCTGCCCCTTGTGCACTGATTTAGTTGCTTTTCGATCTCAACTCTTCCTTCCCGCATGGGGCTTTTTCTGATTGACCTCTTTCTCCACATCTTGCACTCTCCCCGTGCCTGTCCCATCTCTGGTTGCCGTCACGATGTGTGCCCGGTACTGGTTCACTGTATGCCCTTCCTCCTCTTCTCGAATTGCTGTGGCTACACACCATCTTTTCCGTCCCTTTACTCATCTTCATCGTATTTCTTTGACTTGCTGGTGTATCTTGCTGGTTGCTTCCGGTTCTTGGCACCATATTTCTGGCCTTCTTCCTATTCCCTCGTTTCTGATGCCCATTTTATTCTCAAATCTCTGGAAGAGGAGGGAGGAGCGGGTAGGGGAAAGAAAACAATTCATTCAATGAGCTGATTATTCCGAAAGGAATGTCTTTTGATTCGTGCTTGGCCTCTGATGCTTTCTTTTGTTTGGGCCAGACTTACAGAAGCTGTTGAAATGAAGTCCAGCAAAGCATGACAGGCTTTGCTTCGCTGCGAGTGAGAGGGATGAGGTGCTCTTGCTGCTGAAACAGCATTTCCTTGGAGGTTCAGCAGGATGTTGACTCAGGAGGATGTCACGATAAGAAACACTCCGCCCACGAACCCCATTGCAGTGAACAAGCTGAGTAGCAGTTCTGGTACAAGTGATGCGTCCAGTCCCTCGGTGGAATCCCCGGGGCTCACTGACGGCGAAGAGTTCGATGAGAACGCAGAATATTGGTTGCTCTGTGCTGTGGTATGCTCAGGAAAGAACCTCTTTGTTGGGGATGAGCAGCTCGGGGATTTGTTCTGTATGCTCCATACGTCAGATGGAGTATGCAGATCCAGAACGGTGACACATGTTTGTTTCGATCCTTGCAATGATTGACTTGCTCCTACAGGCGGTAACTGGAATGGTTTACAGTAACGCGAACCCTGTCTGGCCTTCCAATGGGAACGGCAACGCGTTTGTTTTGCCTGTGAGAAGGTCGAAAAGACAAACAGACCTCGTGATAACTATCTGGGACGGGAGCGAGAGTCTGGAAGAAGCCATTCCCGTGGGAAAAGTGCACATCAACCTCAAAGATTTCATGCAATTCCCGTCAGTCCCCAACGGTCATGCTCAGAGGGATTCTGCTCCCCCACGTACTGAGACTGCTATGCTGCTGTTTGACGTTACTGATTCTGTTCTTTCAGGGTACGAATTTAAGGTAGAGTTGGTCCCTAGATTGGCTTCCATTAAGAAGGCGGATCCTAGCGTGACAGGCAAGCGTCCTGGGCTGGATGAGCCATTTCTAATTTTTTTGAATTCAGTCATGTTGGAGCGAGCTTCTCATGTTTTTGAAGGAGATGGGGCCAAGGATCAAGCTCTACATGATTTGGTAAATGGAGAAAGATTCCGGTGCCTTGAACCTGACAGTCTTCACAGTTGAGAAGGCTGGGAATCTCTCGAAGGAAAGACCGACTGAAACGCCTGATGCAGTGGGACAGAGAGTATCCAGGGCATGTACGTCCTGACGCTTCTTCTTGGTGTAATAAGCTGACGATTCTGTTGTGGTAGGGTATGAGCAAATCCTCCTCACAAACTCGCGATTACTCCCTGGTTGCGTTGCTCACTGACGAAAACTCTACTCCATCTCACGACCAATACTGGATTGGGGGCAACCCCCCTAAGAAAGACCCGGAGGTCAATGATACTGACCAGACCCCCAACGGTGAGATGCTGGAGAGCAACCAAGGGGTCGAAGGGATGCTGGAGAAGCTTGCAAACGGAAATGGCAACAGTAGACTGGTTTCCGTCCCTGTCCGGGCACAGGCCGAGTTGCTCTCAAGAATCAAGCACGTCTCGTTGCAAGATGGCAACATCGTCATGGCCAAAGGTCGGATAATTCAGCATGCTCGAATGTGTGATCATGACACTCTCCGATGCGATCAGGTACCAGCCCGACAAGTTTCTTCTACATTGTCAAGGGCGCATGCCTTGTCACCGTGGATGGGGAGGAAGTCAGCCGAATCGACGAAGGACAGTTTCTCGGTGCCTTGATACCACGATTCTTTCCTGCTTTGGTGGATAATACTCTTTCAAAGGTGAAATCGGAGTCATCTATGACAGTGCAAGAATTGCTGATGTACTGCTGTGCCTACTCTTGTGTGTAAAAATCATATTAACTCGAAGTGCAGGTCAGAGCTGTTGGCGATACGGAATTGCTAGTGCTGAGTGGGGACGATCTTTGGCTTGCGATCGATATGTTTCCGGGTCTTTTCAGTGAGCTGACAAAAGTGGCAGAGATGAGGTCTGATTTGTATTGGGGTGTGGTTCATGCTTACTTCCTCAACAGGTTCGAACATGTGCAATCCCGCAAGGACTGGGGAGTCGACAAAGCAAATGTCGATATCAGCCCTGGCCCCTTGAAGGAGTTCTTGTTCTTCCTCAAGGAGATCGCTGCTGACATCAGCAAGAACAACAGCCAGAAGTCCAAGGCAAGCAACGGTATCAACATAAAGGAAGGACAAGTCATGGACGAGTTTTCGACCAGCGTCGAAGAATCTGTTAGAAAGAGTGATTATGAGGAACCCGACGTGACCGTATCGATGCCACCACTCATCGATGCTCAGCTCGATGAACAAGCTCTTTCGGCACGACTCAAGAGCATGGAGCAATCAGGAGCTTTCGGCCCCGTGACCAAGGCAGAAAAGAACAAGGGAATCAGGATACCGAAGCACCTCAAGGAAGGGCACTACAACACCCATGGCAGCTCGTTGAGAGGAGCAGTCATGCCGATGCTCGGATCGTTAGAGTATGCGAGGAAGGCAGGAGGGATGACGAGCTTTCTGTCTCCTCAGGGGAGCCGATGGGACCACATGTCTTCTAGCGACAGTGAAGGCAGTGAGAGCGGGAGTCCCGAGAGCGTCGACGGGTCTGAGACGAACAACACGACGGTAGGAAGTGACTTGATGTGCGAGAGTTTCTGACGTCAGCGCGCGACAGGGGCCCAGCAGCTATGGCACGAGTGAGGGAGACGGAGATTTCATCTCAGGAAGCTACACAGGAGAGTACAAGGAGTATCGACACGACTCGGAGAGCTCGGCTGAGAAGACGGCAATTGCTCACTCGGTCTCAAGTGCGGAAGGCCCCGATCGCGACAAGCCCAGGGCCGTGAAGCAGCAGAAGAGGAAGCCACGGCCCCGGAAGACCATCTTTCGCATCCGCTTCAGGAAACTGCACGACACCTACACTGCTGAAGAACTCGGAGCAACTCCGAGGCGACTTTGGCGTCTGTCAGTGTCGGGTGTTTACGTCCAGTCCCTCAAGGTACTTGTGAAGCATTGAGGTCCCATGACTCTCCGTCTGAATGTTTTGCAGGAGTACGACATCAACGCTTACTACCTGCTGGAGGGCAGATACTGCCAGGACGGCAACGCTTTGATCAAGTCTGACGTCACCAGGGGCGACAAGTCGCAGCAGGAGGTCAGCTGGCCAAAGCATGTCACGATCGATCTCGAGGAAGAGTCTCTGCTTCCCAACAAGCAGCTTCGCTTCTCGGTGCATCAGAAGAGGCAGTTGTGGAGCGACAAGGTTGTGGGGTATGCGCTGGCCGACATCAGCGAAGCCATGAAGCGGCCAGGGGTCGCCATGCAGAGCACGTACCAGCTCTTCAAGGACAAGGTGAAGGCTGAATTCAAGCCCGAGGAAGAAGCGGCGCAGGACCAGGCAAGCAGCGCGTCCGACCTTGCCAACGGCGCTGGGCTCGTGCGAAGTCTGTCCGGTGGAAACTTGTTTGGGAGAATCCGCCGTCAGGCTGTGGACGCGAATGAGGAGGACGAGCAGAACAAGGGGCGCGTCAAGGGGACAGTGACGTTGACCCTCGTTGCTCAAGACTCTGTTAAGCTGCCTTTCTGCCTCTCAGTCCCTCCACTGTGTACAGGACAAGCGATGTATGATGTAAGTTGATGGAAGAGGTGGGAGGAAGCGTCTGACTGTCCGTGTGCAGATTTTAGATCATGTGGGAAACAAGGTGGCGATGGTGAGTCACTCTCCAGTGAACCTGGACGCTGACACCTTGTGGCAGCTTCAGTACATCGGGCGGTCGAGATGCGCCTGGTGCACCAACGTGGACCCGTCGGACGCGTTCTACTCAGGGTTTCACGACGGAGACAAGGGGCCCCAGGTCGAGCCGTGCTGCAGTGCCTGCACCATGAAAGGATGGTCGGAGTGTGTGATCATGTGGGACAAGGACGGTGAGGGACTGACTTGCACTCTGGGCGACGCTGAGCTGCTGTGGGTTAGGGGAAGTGAGACTGGGTAGCATCTTCACCGAGGTGACCCCGAGGAAGCATGCACGCGCACGCATCTGCGACCAGAACGAGACTCACTTCGCGTCTGTGAGGTGAGGAGATGCCGAGGGCCAGCCTTCCTGTCTCCCTGCGGCCTCTCTCTCCTTCCCTGTCTTGTTTTCTCCTTGCACTTGCCCTGGACTTGTAAACCTCTTCTCCTTCATCCTCCTCCTCCCGTGTTGTCCCTCATGTTCTCACCACTCGTCTTCAGGGCTGTCTGCTCCACAAAGCCTGAGATTTGCACGAGCGTCAAGTTCAAGATCGTCCCGACGTTCTCGGAGCTCTCGATCAAGGCAACGGGCAGCATCATCACGGGCAAGACTTGCTCCAGCTCCTTCCAGGCACCCCCCCATCCTGTCCTGCCGCCGCCCTCCAGCTGACATTGAGCGTCAGGTGTCGATCAGGAAACAGGACGAACATCACGAGCGAACGTCGTCGCACGAGGAGCACAGGAAGAGATCGGTACGACTCCTCTCCCTCCCTCCCTCCCTCCCTCCCTCCCTCCCTCCCTCCCTCCCTCCCTCCCTCTTTCATTGCTCTCGCCTTCCTGTCCTCCACTCATGTGGCTCTTGTGCAGAACCTGCGAGGAGGCGACGTGGTGGCAGACATCAACAGAGGAGGGATCAGGGACCCAGCCAACGTGCTAGTCCAGCCAGGAAAGGATGCCGTACGATCGGTGCTCATTGCGATCGGCATCGACGAGGCCTGTCGGCTGAGACCCAAGTCGGTTTACGATGGTGTGACGTTCAAAGACAAGTTTGACAAGGAATACGACAGGGAGGAAGAGGTATTGCCTGCCGCTCCCCTTCCCACCCTCCTCTCTTCTCCCTCTTCCCCCTTCTTGTCTTCAACCCTCTTCTTTCCCTCTCCCTCCCGCTCCTCGTCTCCCTCCTCCCCTCCTCCTCTCTTGTCCCTCCCCTCGTCTTCTTCTCATGCTCCTACTGACACTCGTGCTCTAGCTCCCCGAGGCATCCGGCGACAAGCCTCTTGTCGCCCCCTTCCTGAATTAGAGAAGATGCGTGGAAAGAGCCAGACAGGAGGAGCAGAGGGGACGGGGGGGAGCGAACGAATGAGGGAGAAGGGGAGGAGGCGGAGGCTTCCGGCAACGTGTACGCTAGAGCATCTTGTACTTTAGTGGGGCTGGTGTGATATAGGAGGATATGGGAGGGCCTATGGTCCTGCCATGCGGGTAAATAAAACATACTATCTTCATCTCCTCCTCGTTCATCTTCTCCTCCTTCCAGTCCTCGTCTCCCTCTCCCTCTCCCTCTTCCTCCCTCCCTTCTTCTTGGTCCTTGGCTTCTCCTTTCTCCCCGTCTTCTTCTTCACCTTCGTCCTCTCCCTTCACTTCCCCCCCCTCCCCCTCTCTCTGCACAGCATGTTTCACCCTAAAGCTCGTCAGGCCCGCTGTCGGTCTCCTGCGAAGGTTCCTCCTCCTTGGAGCCTCCGCCACCCTGAGGAGAAACTTGAGGGAGGGAAAAGAGGAGGAGAGGAGGCAGGGAGTGGAGCGGGTGAGATAGGATGAAGATGGGGGTGGGG